TGTTTACAAATTATCACTGGTGAAATGAGGGAAGGGTTAGCACTTAGCAGGCCGTTCGACTCCTTGAAATTCATATAAATCTTTTTAAAAATGAATATTATTTCTAATTTGTTGATCATATATCTAAGAGTATGGTTATATTTATAAACTCAAAATTTAATTTTTTTATATAAATTATACTATGTATTAGGGGTAGTATATATTACTTGAACATATATTATCCGTTGTACGTAGTTTAGTTTGTAGAAATTTGTAAAAAAAAAAAGTTTATAAAGATAACTTACTCTTATATCTAGTCTCTTTCAAAATTTCAAAAAATATGTAATAGTAAGTATCATTTATATATTTTTTATCATATAATTCAAAGGAAATTTTTTGCCTCCTTAAAAAAAATTCTGACTCCTCCGTTGCAAATCATATGAAGAAGGCATAGTTCCGCCTATACTTTTATTTAAGCATTTTTTGTCATTTATCAGGAATCAACTGACGATTATGTACTAATTCAGGTGATTTTTGTCGAGCTTCATCTTTGCCATATGGACTAAACCCAATTCCTGGGCCAGTAAGTTGGACTCCGTGGCTTGATTCCAGCCCAACTAGTTTGGCCCAAATCCGATACGAAGACTGTTTCAGCTCACTTCGACTTGGCAGAGAGAGAGAGAGAGAGAGGTGACTCGAATCAAAGATCGAAGTGAAGGCAGCGCAAGCAAGAAAGCAGCGTTAGTGATATTGAATACAGTAATATCTTTCATTCTTATTCTCATGTGCAAGTTTTCTCTGAATTCTGTATTCTAGTTCTCTGGAGTTTCGTTTTCAGAAATTATACTTTGTGATATTGAATACTCTTAAAGAATAAGAAACTTGGGATGCACCACCAAAAAGCTAGTTCAAAAGGTGAGAGTGTCCGAGGCCTTATAAACTCCATATTAGTTGGCAGATACTATATATCTCAACACGCTTCCTCACACGGGAGCCCACTGGGCTTGAAGGGTAGACAACATACAAGCCCACCTACATGGGGAAATTCCACTACAAAGAAAGTGAGAGGCGGTGAGATTTCGAACGCTCTGATACCATGTTAAAGAACCTTGGGATGCACCACCCAAAAGCTAGCTCAAAGGGTGGGAGTGTCCAAGGCCTTATAAACTCCACATTAGTTGCACATACAACCAATGTGGGACTATATATCTCAACAATATTGAATACATTAATATCTTTCATTCATTGAGATTGGTTACTATTTGCTCTAATTTGTCAAAGGATTTGCATGTACACGCAAGTATGTACCTCCTGCGTGTGTATCGACATGCGTAGAACATATTCCTTGGAAAAAACCAGGTTGATTTCTCAGGTTGTGTTGTTTTACCGTAAGAAAAGAAAATGTGAGATCCAGACTTGTATCTATCGAGCGTGCAACAGAACCGTACAGCCTAAGAAAGTGCCTTAGTGCTTATAGCATTTGCTCTATGGTTAAAGAACAATTAACTCGAACATTGTATTTTGTGGTCACCTTGACTCACTTTGCTTGCAAAGCCATATTATGGCTCACTATCCAATTTTGTCAGTGTAGAGTTAAATTGAAGCCAAAAGTTTTGGACCAGAATATGTGAAATACTCTGCGTTGCATATCAGGTCAACATCATTGGTGCTCAGTAATAGTTCACTATTATTCTTTAATTAAACAAAAGCAGCGTTAGTATTTTGTTCTTGCTTTGTTCTTTTATATTCATTCTTCAATGAAGTTTCTTTTTAATGCATATGTTGAACAGGCATTCAATTCAATTTCTGGCCCGATGTCTACCTTAATTTCAAGCTATGGGAGAAGGAATGTGTCTTTTAGCTCGCAGCCGCGTTCAGTTCACCTAAGAGTTTCCTGCGCTGTATGTAACTACTTGTGAAGTGCTTCAACCTTCTTCCCTGCACGGTCACCAAATTACTAGATGATAGATTGCTTGAAACTGTAGTTAATAGTTGATTAAGAGAAATGTGATGGGAAAGATAAAATGGTATTTTCACAGAAAATTAAAAATAAAAATATAAAGATGAAATGGGGTACATATTTTATTGAGTAAATACCCTTTTTGGTCCTCAGCAAATCTCACGATGCTCGTTTTAGTCCCTAGCAAACAAAAAGGCCCATCGTGGTCCCTAAGAAATTCAAAATAGACCCATTTTAGTCCTTTTAGGGACTAATATGAGCCTTTTTTTTTTGAATTTGTGAGGGACTACAATTTCAACTAAATGGGTTCATTTTGAATTTCTTAGGGACCACAATAGGACTTTTTATTTGCTAGGGACTAAAACGGGTATCGTGAAATTTGCTGAGGACCAAAAATGGTATTTACTCTATTTTATAACCCTGAGATCACACATCTTAATTTTCCTTTTATAGTCAATGAGTATCCTTTGTCTCAAATCCCAATTTATCTCTGGCTAATGGAGGCCTTTGTAAGATTAGAGATGATTTTATCTATTGAAATTGCGGCATCTAGAACCTTTACATTATAATTTTAATTTTAATTTTATGCAGATATAGCCGTGTAGGTCTTTAACCCTTTTAGTGGAGAAGGTTCTGAATTCTCGAACCTTGTGTTTTATGAAATTTCCTGAGGCTTTATAAGACAATGTTTAATGCTGATAGTTTGGTAGTAGTCTAACTTTTATCCATATTTCAGTAATCCGTATAGATATGTAAGTTCATATAAATACTTGATTAAATCAACTTGAATCGTTGAATGCCTTGACTTGAGCAGGCCAAGCCGCAGACCGTAGAAAAGGTGTGCAAAATAGTAAAGAAGCAGCTGGCTTTATCAGATGACTCTAATGTATGTTACTGGCGAGTCAAAATTTGCTGCTCTGGGAGCTGATTCACTTGACACGGTAATCAACATCTAGCCGGACATTTCAATTGCTACTGTTTGATGCTCCTTGGAGTTATTTACCAAAATCTGAGTATATAGCCATATCACTTGATTTGATTATTGTGAATTCCATTTACATGCCATGCCCCTTTAGGTCGAGATTGTAATGGGGCTCGAGGAGGAATTTGGTATCAGCGTTGGAGAGGATAGTGCACAGAGCATCTCAACAGTTCAAGAAGCCGCATATCTTATTGAGGAGATCATTAGTAAACAAAGTCCTTAGAGTAAAATGTACCAGATGAAACCAGTAGACATTGTATGGGTTTTGTTAGTCTTTAGTGTTTTATCTATATTCGCTCTCAAAATGACGTCGTTTTGGGTTGAAAAATGAAAAAAATTATAATGAAAAAGATTATTATAACTCTGAAATAAATTATAATTACGGAAATACCTTGATTTCCGCTTCAAAACAACGTCATTTTGGACTTAATGTAGATAAATTATCTACATTAATTATAAAAAAATCGAACCCATATATATATATGGACATTAATCATTGACGCGGTCAATTTCAGTCTGCCTTTGCTTTACAATTAGGATACCTGCAGTCCGACCAGGTAACCTGAATAACATAAACTATCAAGTAGATAATCAGTCAGTAGTTTTACTAAAATTTATGACATTTTTTATTTTTCTGGGAATTGTATCATTCTTAAATATTGTGCAATAACTATTTCAAGGTCTATGAAAGCAGCTGGAGAAAAATACAAAAGGATTCCCAAATTAGAAGAGTTTTAAATCCAAATTTACCATTACCAAAGAGTCAAGTGCCTATTTCGTCTTTTATCATTATTTTTCAATTCTTTTTGTGCACTTGGGGTTCGAATTCGAACCTTCGTAAGGAACCCTAACCTATTGAACTTGAATCAGGAAAAGGGAACACCTTTTTTTTATTAGCAATCTAATGTGCCCAATGCTTGAAGCTTTCGTAGCCATAAGCTCGTGATATGTACCATTCAGGCAATAAATATTTGAATTCTCATCCTGTGCTTGTTGACAGAGTTTCCAGCCGATGTACAATAAAATAAAATCAAATGTCTTGTATCCAAAAAAATATTCAAAATGAAAATGTCACTTTCGGGTAGGATTGTAATCCGAGTCGAGTTGAATATTTGATACTTACTAACATAGTAAGATAAATAGCGTTATGTAATGACTAACCCGAAAGATCTGCATAAAATCACTGATATTGTTTTACATATGTTAATTGCTTAATACATGATTGATTGTTCTAGTCCATATTCTTTTTAAAAAAAATTGATTCATTGCACTAACAGACTACTAAAATTCAATATAACCACATACAGAACATGCTAATATAGCATTTACCCGTGTTTGATGATGTAATCTAGTAAATAACCAAACAGTCAAGGAGTGAAATGTCTCTACATACATCTTTTTTTAAATTTTATATAAAAATGTGATCTACTAACATATTTACTTTATTTACATACTTCGTGAACAGGATGACCTGCACCTTATTAAACTAATCTAACAGTTGACACCACATCAGTCCCAATCAGCTTCGAAGAAACCAGCATCTTTCATTTCAGAGTAATACACATTGTCCAAGTGCAAATCTTCCTCCTGTAATCAACACAATAAGAACAATCTCGGTCAGATCAATGAAAGAAGGAAGGATGTCCTAAATCCTAACATGTGAAACACGGACACGTGTTTTTTTAGAAAATATGCGTGTCCGACACGTGTTGAACACGGACACGAACACGCGGTTAATTTTTTGGGACACGTTGATTAGTTGGACACGCGAATTTGGCCGAATCCGACACGCGGTCAACGTATGTGAGCACGTTTTGACATTTTTTTTTGTAAAAAAGAAATAAAATTAAAATTAAAAAAATAAAAAATATTTAATAAAAGGGGTTTACACTTGTTATGTGACAATTAAAATTAAAAAAATAAAAAATATTTAATAAAAGGGGTTTACACTTGTTATGTGACATGAAAGTGATTTTTGCAACACACACAAATTCAGGTGGACCATTGAAAAATGGTAAATAAAAAAATTAAAAATATTTACACCCAAAATGATGAGTGTAACATAAGAAGGCTAATAAAAATATGTAACCCTATCCTCTTATCCTCTCTCGCGCTGGAGGTTGCTGGTCTGGTCCTTCTCTTCTTCGTCGGTGGTCATCGCCGGTCGTCGTCTACATCTCCGGTCATTGGTCGTCGTCAACATCCGGTAAGTCTCTTTCGATTCTCGCCTTTTTTTTTTTTGTTGGGTCTGAGGCTATCGCCTATCTGTCATAGTTGTTTCCAGTAAGTATCATTTGCAAATCTTTAGTTACATGAACAACTAAGTAGTAGAAATAAGCAAATAATGTGGTTGTCTGGTTGATGAGGCTGTCGGTTCTTGTATAGTTTCCTTCATATGTGTGGTTTTTTCTCCCAGATCGATAAATTTCATGTTTAACTTTAACTGTATTATAAACTCCAATAGAACCCAGAGAAAACGAACCATAAAGCAAGTATAGGGGAAAACATGAAACCCACTTTACTGGTACCAAACCGTTGTATGCTGAACAAAGCCACCAGGACTAGAATTGAAACAATAAAAAAGATAAAAAGAAATTAAGCTCTGTTGTGCAAAATTCTAATTTGTTCATTTCCATAGTTCCACAAGATAAATAACACATTGGTTGTACTTAGGCCAAAGCACACCAAGTCATTAATTGAGAGATATTTCAGAGACTTTGATCTCAAGTGCATTTGCTGCAGAAAATTATAAAAGGATTCATATCTTGCATTGCAATTTTTCTTTTTTAGTACTTTACAGTTCAGAGAGTACGTAATTGAGAAGTGGACTTTGGCTAAATTATCATTAGAGAATGAACTAGTTACAAGATCCATCAACACCTTTTGCTATAGCGCAAGAAGTGATTTAAAGTCCATAACTCCTACTTGTAGCTAAACATTTTAACAAATAAGCCATCACCATTGACAAGAATATATGAACCAAATAGAAAATATAGTGAGCTTTGGCAACCTGGCATCTGCCTAAAAAAATAATAATTCTACAAACAGATTCATATAAAACAAAAGAGTTAGGTACTTTGCCTTATTTTTATTGTATATTAAGCTGGCCTTTTGCTTTAGCAATTGTTTATTAAGCTGTTAAAGAATGAAAGAAGGGTTTTGGTAAAGAGTTGGGTACTTTGCCTTATTTTTATTGGTTAACCCCTTATATGAGGCTATCACTTTCCATACTTGTATATAGTATTTGAGAAAGTAAAGAATGTTCCTATCAAAAAACAATCAAAAGTATGTTGTGACTACTTTCGAGCCTATCTACACCCTCTTGTGCTATCTCTTTCTATACCTTAATGTGAGGCTATCTCTTGTGCTATCAAACGTACAATGATACACAGCTGTAAGCAACAGCTTGTGGACAACCCACAAGTTCCACTTCACGTGATGCGTACTGTCACTGCTGTCAATGAATAATGGGACCCCAAATCAAAACAGATACACAGCCTAACCAACAAGGAAAAAGGTGCAACAATTCATACATAAATCACAAGGACAAAAACAGGGTTCTAGTGAAAGAATAACCAAAGAAAATTACCTTCAACAAGATATCAAAACCAACAATGATCCCAGATATACCAAAAGTTCGTGTCAATGCTTCTAAGCCGCTCACACTATTCCCTTGAAGTAAAAAAGTCAGCAAACTCACTTCAAGAAACAGCATTCCAGAAGTAGTAGAAAGGGATAACAGCCGTCCGTCGTTAAGTGATCGGAATCCTCCGTTATGTTAGGGTTTCTTCGTTTATTCACAATCATCGAAGCTCTGCGTTTCACCTCTGAATTTTTTAATGCGTTCAACTATATAACAGATCCCTACAGTTCCTCTTCCTAGTTTTGTTTGGGTAATTGGCGAAATCGAACAGTATCATGTAACACGGTACGATATTTTAATTCCCTGTATATTCCTTTTGATGTTTAAATACTTGTTCTGTTTGGAATTATGCTCCCCTTTATGTTTATGGTATTGCATTCGGGTTTGTACCTCTTTGTCGCTCAAATTTTGTAGAAGTGGGTGTTCAATCTCGCGTATTTTGGGCTCTCGGGGAATATCAATTTTTATGTCTACCCTGTTTCCAGTTTTTGGTTACCTGGGTATTATCACTAAATTTTATTTTGTTTATGAAATGAGTATATATAAACTACACCTTGGTTTGTGTGCATGCTTGATTGATTGGTATTTTGGTGTAATACTGTGGGATGAGTTGTCCTAGGTAGAAAGAAAGAAGTTACGATCTTAGTTGAATATATATTATCAGTGTTTTATGAGGAAGACTTGCATATAGCTGTATAGCTGAATTGTATGATAGCATGTAGCAGTTTGATATGAATTTCACTATTATTGGAGAGTAGGCCATGTGTATTGAGACCAGGGAAGAGCTAGGTGCCACTGGGCCAACTTTTTATCTAAATCTTATTGTAAGCTCACTATTGCAAGAAAATTGAATCTTTCTGTGGTTCTATTTTGTTTAGTGACTTTTGTCAGTTTGATTGTGTGTTTGAAGAAGAGTAGTCTACAGTATAGTCTCCCCTAATTGAAGCAAAGTTATAATTTGATTGGTAGTAATTACAGTATAGTCTATCCATTATTTTTGTGAAATTTTTAATTGATTGTCCATCTCCAATTGCAGTTACTCGTTGGAAGTGCAAAGACTGTCAGGGTGGGTTTTACTTTGCTCCTCCTCTGAAACCTTTTCATTTCAATCCCCCTTTTTTACTGTTGTGAGGTACTTGGTCTCTCTAATCTCGTGCTTTTCTTATGTTGATCACTCAATTTACCTCATTTCGCTTTTGATTAACATTATTTTTTGCAAACAAAGTTCCATGTTCCTCTACTTTTTCTTTTGAAATTTCATGCATGATTGTGTTAGGATAAAGGATAAAAGGGATGATCTACACAACAATTGACACGTTCTACCTCACAGACGAGCAGCTAACAAATTCACCCTCTAGAAAAGATGGCATAGATGAAGCCACCGAGACCACACTTAGAATCTATGGCTGTGATCTCATCCAAGAAAGTGGCATTTTACTTCGCTTGTATCCTTTTTTCATGTTATTATTATTTTTCAATTTTAATCTTTGTGCGTTCGGTTCAGATTGTTACCTTAATTGTCTGGCAGACCACAAGCGGTCATGGCCACTGGGCAGGTTCTGTTTCATCGTTTCTATTGTAAGAAGTCATTTGCACGGTTCAATGTCAAGGTCATTTTTTTTTATTTTGTTATTTGTATTGTTTGCTCCTCCTACTCTCTCTTTTCTTCATGAATCAAAATCCTCATAGCATCTCTTTTTGCAGAAAGTTGCTGCAAGCTGTGTATGGCTTGCTTCGAAACTAGAGGAAAACCCTAGAAAAGCCAGACAAGTAATCATTGTTTTTCACAGGATGGAATGCAGGAGGGAGAACTTGCCCATGGAGCATTTAGACTTGTATTCCAAGGTCACTCTCCCTCTCTTTGTGCCTTGAGTACAATCTTTCAATAAGTTTTTGTTTTTTGAACGTTTTTGTTTTCTTTTTTCATGAACAGAAATATGTTGATTTGAAAATGGAGTTGAGCAGAACAGAGAGACATATTTTGAAAGAGATGGGATTCATTTGCCATGTTGAACATCCTCATAAATTTATATCAAATTACCTTGCTACCCTTGAAGCAGCTCCAGAATTGGGACAAGAAGCTTGGAATCTGGCTAATGATAGGTACATAATTGCAGATATTATTATTATGCCGTTGTTGTATGTCTACACATGTACATATGTTCCACTCCACATTGTACACCACGATTTACTACTCACAAGATTCTTGAATTAGACTGTATTTTCTATTTTTTTTTATTTTTTTTTTGGGTGAAATTCTATTCTTTTAAACATTGGAAGGTTTGCTTCTATATAAGTCTGGCATCGGTTTGGATATTTGGTCAAGCTGATTGTACTTGGATTCAGTAAACAATTTAAAGAGATGGAGTAATCCTCATAACACATTTAATGAAGTAGAAGAACAAAATCTTGACAAATCTGTCCATGACAGCTTTTTGAACAACCTGATAATGTAATTCTATCCTTCAAGGATTTAATTTGTGCAGTGTAAAATGAAAACATAAGTTACTATTATAAATATGAATAGATGATTTAAAGAATAGTGTACTGTCTAGGCAGAAGATTTGGCTGAAAATATGACGGTAATATCGTATAAAGTTTTGAGATTCTTATTAAATTGTTGAACCTGTTCAGCTTGTGCTTGTTGTTAAATGGATAGATGTTTTAAAGGGTATCTACCTTATTAAGCTGTTGGAACTTCTGTAAATCATGCGTGACATACTTTTGATCCAAATCAGAGCACAATCCCCAATGGAGTAAAAAATCTATTTACTCATCCAATTGTCGTACTGCAATGTGCTAGTATTTTTGGTTATGGCCTGTATTCAACGTCTTTCAGTTGAACTAAATGCTTGTTGTTTTGTAGTTATATGTTTCACCAACTCTCTTCTTGATGCAGTTTGCGCACTACATTGTGTGTTCGATTTAAGAGTGAGGTTGTGGCTTGTGGAGTTGTATATGCTGCTGCTCGTAGGTTTCAAGTACCCCTTCCTGAGAGCCCACCATGGTGGAAGGCATTTGATGCAGAGAAGTTTGGGATTGATGAAGTGTGCAGGGTTCTGGCTCACCTTTATAGCCTTCCCAAGGCGCAATATATACCAGTCTGCAAGGACGGGGACTCATTTACATTCTCCAACAAATCATTGGAATCAAAGCATCAGTCAACACCAAAGGTTATGTCCTATTTTCCCCTATTTATTTTATACTTGCCTTAGGGATGCAATGTTAGCACAGTTGGCTGTTATGAGATAAATGTTTGCTTTTGTAAACCTGTATTACTGGCAATCAACTATAAGGTTTCGATCATTTACATTCTCCAACAAATCTGTGTAATCAAAGCATCAGTCAACACCAAGGGTGATGGCCAATTTTCCCCTATTTATTAAATTATTATTATTATTTTTAATAGATTTTCCATATTTATTTTAAACTTGCCTTAGGGATGCAATGCAATATCAGCACAGTGGGCTATTATAAAACAAATGTTTGCATTTGTAAACATGTATTATTAGCAATCAACTATAAGGTTTCGATCTGACATGCCTGAAATCACTTCTATTTTGTAGGATGTTCCACAAAGTAGCCCCCAAGCTGATACTGAGACATCGGCCCCAAAGGGCACTCCTGGGGAAGCTAATGTTGAATCCATTGGTGGCAAGGGTGCAGTGGTAAAGCTAGCCACTGATAAGCTAAAAGATTCCAAGAAGTCTGATGATGAATCCAAAGGCATGGCTACTGAGGGAGAGGCAAGAGATGAACCCACAGTGAAGACCAAGTCTGACCGTAAAATGGATGCCAGTGGGGAGATACGCAGGGACAGGGACAGGGACAGGGACAGGGACAGAACAAAATCCAGGGATAGGGATCGTGGGAGGGATTCTGACAAAGAACGTGAACGAGAGGAAGCTGAGAGGGACAAACTCAAGGATCGGGGTCACCGTTCCTGGGAAAGAGCAAAGGATTTAGGTATTTTTATAGATTTATTGTCTGGTAATTATTTTTCGTTGGGTATTTTGGATGAAATTAAGTTTTTCTGTTGGATGCAGGACATTCAAAGTCAAAACACCATTCATCGCGTGGTATGAATCTGAATTCATGAGTTTGGCATTTTTTTCCTTTTGGTATTCCCTCTTCTAACACATTTTGATTTCAGATCGTGACTACCACGGTTCCTCTTACTCGTCAAGGGAGAAAGATCGACATAGTCATCATTGACATTATTTAAAAGAGCTTTCAAGATCTACCGGCTATTTTGTTCATGACAATTATAAACAATAGGAATTGTTTATAAACAATAGGAATGCCTTTTTATCTATAATTGAGAATTGCATAACTTTTTATCTATAATCATTTACTGCTACCTGTCAGGGCAAGAGTTGTCAAAATTATAAACAATAGGAATGGAATGCCTTGTATTAGTTGCATTCACAATCACATTCGAGCTTGTCATTCAGATTTCAACAAACAATTATCCCTGACTGTATCCCTTCTGCAATGATAGTGGATAAAAGCTATAGAAATAAATTTCTGTATGTTAACTGGTTTAGTTTAATATTTTTCTTTATTCGTTATTGTGATTTAGGAATGATTTATAAGTGCATACTCATTAGGTAGTAAACATCAGCATAAATTTTAGTTTAAGTCAAAATATTTTGTTAATGCGATTAATCTTTTCTTTTGTTCGTCATAAATAAATAGAATACATACAAGATAACGTTGTTACTAACCAATGGTTGATTTAACAAAAAAAAATATCATGTAATTCATGCACAATTAAGTAATTATTTAAGTTGAACTAAATTAATTGAATGGGTGTAATGCTAATTGAATCTTATATAGAAAGAGTTTAAAAATTACATATGACTTCTATCATCTCTGTTTTTCACTTTTATTCCAAGGTAGCATTCCAAGTTTTCAAAATATGTGATTTGAAGCAAAATATAAAGAATAAATTAAATGTACGTGGCCTATTAATTCATTATCATTCAATTGTTGGATTTACTTAACAAAATATTAGGTAACTATTTTTAAAAACTAAAAAAAAACGCCTTTTTTTTTGCGGTAAAAAAAAAATGCATCTTTGCAAAATGAAGTTGAACACAGGTTGGATGGAGGATAGGATATGTGAACCAACATCCCTGTTCGTACTACTACCATGTAACACCGCCGAAAAAAGAAATTACCATGTAGTAGAAGCCTTGAAGACAATAATAAATCAAGGTTGACATGACTCTTTGCGACAAGGTCACCTTCAATTAAGAGAATGATACTCGCTTAGTTGGCAACTGAGCTTCTAAGGATTTGCTTGCGTCACGGGTTCAAACCCTGTCTCACGCAAATTCTTAAAAAATCTTTGGGGGCCAGAGGACGTGCCTCTGTCCTCGAAGGGGAGGTTAGTCTCATCCTTCCTCCGGTAGCGAAGCTCAATGCATTCGCTGTTTCAATGAGAAGCTAGCCTTCGGGCCGTACTCCGAGAACAAGGTGACCGGAGAAGATTAAATGGAGATACCCTCCAGGTTATACCAAAAAAAAAAGAACGATACCCCAGGGGGACAAACAAACTTGGGTAACGAGTTCATCCGCAATGGCAAATCAAGAAACTATAATGCGTAGACACAATTAAGGAACGTCAAGCCAGAAGATCAGACAATGTTATGTAAAGAGCAAAAAGATACACACAAGAGAATATAGCACCTTCAAGAAAAGTAATAAATCAAAACACAATGAGGAAACAAGCTGTCCATTTTTTTTCCCATGTTTCTTTGGTGCTTTTACAGGAGTACTGCAATGGTCAGTATTTTACAAAAAAAAACTTGAACAAATTAACTTTTGAATAAAATTGAAGAAACGTATTCGTCATGAAAGTTTTTATATGTTTATTTTGTCAAACAAATAATTAAGGGAACTAAGTTTATACTCATTTCCAGTTAAAACTGTTACAACATAGTCGTTTTTCTACTATTATATTATGAATGACAAAGTGCATTATTCTAAATCTAAGATTTTTGTGATTATTTTCTTTCTATTGAGCAGATAAAGTGCTGAGCATCCTTTAAAAGCCGATTAGCTATGTCTAGGTGGAATGTCAGAGAGAGACAGTTTGATTTATCAATAATGTTACAGATTTCTGTGCTTATTAAATATGTTCTTGCTATAGGGCCTCTAATTAGGCTTAGTGATTATGTGACACATTTCTATGATCTTCTGGCATTTACCTTATTTGTTACAACAACCAACTAGAATTTGGAATGCATATTGACTTCAACGAACAATGAGGAGCTCATATTTGAAATTTTTCCTGAAGCAGTTCTTCCTGCTTTCTTGTGCTCTTTTATCCACACTAGGTGTTCTTTATCTCTAAATGCAAGTGTCTATTTTTAAGGACCTCTGCTTTTATCATGTCCTATCTTTCTTCAATACGGTTTGATCCAAATGTAAACAATATTGAGGAATTAAATCACATGGAAAATTTTATTTACTACCCTTTTTCTTCTGATAGGAAGATTTATAGCAAATGACTTAACCTAGCCTTGAGGCACACAATTCAGTAGTAGCTCAATTCTACCTTTGCACTTTTCCATGGTCCATGGTCAGAATTTTGTTTTTTCCTGCCTTTAAGAATATAAGAACAAACAGATTCTTTTGGATGATATGCTTTTGGAGTAACTGACCTTCTTACATATGGGTAAGACCAAAATATAAGAACAAACATATCGTTTGGCCAGTTTTTTGTATCGTGAATCGTATAGAATCGTAAGATACAAAAATATAATAATAAATAATTTAAAAATATATAATATAATTAATATCATATAAATCCGAAATCTAAAAAGGATCCAATAAGCAAAATACATAAGCTACTAAAGTGCAAACCAGTTATTCTCCACTCATCAATACTATCACTATTAGCATCTATCAGTGACATAATGAATTCATCATCCTCTACATTAGGGTAGTCATTTGACTCATCTCTCGTTTCTTGTTCAACAATCTTGAGGTTATTTTCCCTTTTCCCTTATCATTCTTTATTTTCTTTTCTTATTAATAATAATTTTTTTAGATTTTTTTAATTTAATATACAAATCAAATCTTTATTTCTTTTTTTATATTAAAAATTAAAAAATTTGATTTAATTTTCGTATCGTATGATACATGTATCGTATTATATCGTATTGCACGATACAGTATCATATTGTTCGATACAAATCCCTTTCTGATACACCACACGGTACGTATCGCTGGGCTTGTGAATCGTTTCGTATAGTATATCATGTGTCGTACGATACTGATAACTATGCTTGATATCCTCCTAAAAGAGGCAGAAAACTCATCATAATTTTTTCCCTTGTGCATGGATTTTTGTAAGCCTTATATTACTACAGTATTGTATTATAGCTTATGATTCTCCAGCATCTGTTATTGTTTCACTTGTCAAATTCAATTTCAGTCTAATACCCTGTACATCATGTGGGATTTGTGCTTGTATCCGGGCTTCTCATAACTTCTTATGGTTTACCTTTAAGGATATCCTTTTAGTCATATGTCACTTTCTCAAATATCTCACATTTTGTATTGATATATCTCCTCCTCCTTTGTATCTCTGGTCTAAATTCCTCTTCATCGTTTGTCCATTGCTTGTGCTAAATTCCTTATTGTGAATTGCAGCATCAAGTAATGAAAATGCCTTGTTTGAAATTTGAGAGTAAAGGTGTGTTGGTCTGCCAATTGCTTAGACAGTGCTGTACTCTGGCCTTTGCAGTTTCTAGTTTGCTAGATGTTGTATAGTTCACAATACTAGTTGGAATTTAATGTTGTGTTAATGGGTCCACATATTGAGTTAAATCATATTTGACATTCATCACTTTTTAAATAGAACCCAACCTTCAATTTATAATTTGTGTAATGGAATGGTTTGAAAAGTTTCTTTCAAATGTTTCTCCTTTTTGCTTCCTATGCTTGCGGTATACGTTGCTTACAAATGAGATAAAAGAATTCACTAGCTTGAGTATATCTAATAATGTATCAAATGTTGAATTATTGAAAAATGAGTGTATCTATTTACTAAATTACTCTAATTTAGTAAGCTAAAATAAACTTTAATCTGATTTAAATAAATAAGTTGAAATAAATTATAATCTAAATTAAAACTAATGTGTAATATATTTATCCATGCAAGACACGAGATAAGTAGGCAAAGAATACGCCGTCGGGATCCACCGAGTCACCGACCTCCAGCTTATCAAAGCTTCTCTACAATTAAGTAATTATACTATTTTATTTTACTTTTTGAGAAATTATAATAGTTTGACAATAGAAGGATAATATAATATCATATCTTTTGGATCAAAATTATCATGAGGAAAACTTACGGTTATACGAGACAAATTAAGACTAAATTAATATCTTTGAGGATATTCAAAAAGTAGAGCCCGCTTTCTATTTAGTTAACGGCATTTTTCTTCCTTTTTTTTTAGGAATTTATGCTTATAGGAAGTAAATATTTTTTTTCTTTCCCTTTTTTTTAATTTTCTCTTTCTGATTAGCTGTATATCTCGCTTACACTTTTTTACTCCATGTACTCTTCTCCTATGATGCACGGACACTGACACGGTACATGACACGACACGCCAACACGTTAATTCTAAAAAATAGCATATTTTTACACGTTGAGACACGTTTTGATATTAAATAATATTTTTAATATATATAATATAATTTATATTTAATACATATAACAGTTCATAATAAGTCATATAACCAATCAAATATTCAAATTTCATAACATAAATATATAAAAAAATAATTTTTCATACTTTGTTAATCTTTCATGTCAAATTTTATAACAGAAAAAAATTAATTTATAATGATTTTTTTATTTTTAGTTAATAAAATAAAATAAAGATAAAAAAAATCGTGTCGGAGCGTTGATCACGTGTCGAAAAAAGTTGGTTGCGTTCCAAAAAACGTGTCTAAACGTGTCGGAGAGTTGACCTCGTGTCCTCAAATATTGACCGTGTGTCGGACGCGTGTCAGAACGTGTCGGAGCGTGTCTGTGTCGGATACGTGTCTGACATGCAATTTTTTTGAAAAAGAACGTGTCGGGGTATCTGAGCTCTTCTCACTAATTGAAAAATATTAACATTGCATAACGGATAAAAAATTACAGGATTAATGTTTCTCGTGTTGTAAGAGATAATTTTATTTTCTACACATATATAAAAATATATATAGTCTATGTGGAGCCTTGTGAAAAGAACAGAGAAAAAAAATGTGGGTCACACACACTTTTATGTATGTCCTAATAGATAAATTTATTTTTTATAGCATGAAAAACATTAATTTCAAAAATTAAATCGCAAGAATCAAATAATTTATTATTCCCTTTAAAACTATTCTGTTGATACGATTTATTATCAAACTGATTTAATCATTTTCAGTTAATCATGGCTTTTGAATACAAATTTTGATTAGTTTATTAAATTTAGTGTTATTTATATATATGTTAAAATCATCTCTACAGCCGTTTAACGTAC